ATGTATATATATATATATTTAAACTTTAATTGTTCATTCAGAATAATAAAATTATATGTTAAAGACTATTAAACGTAAAGGTTTAAAACAGATTAAGACTATTAAAAGTGTAAAGACTATTAAAATTAAAATTACGTGTTTAAAATAAATATCCGAACGCTATTTATCAAATAATTTTAATATTGTTTTTCTTTGCTCTATTGCTGCCTTCTGTTTACAAACACCTTTTATATTCTTCAATACATGAACTTGAAGAAATTTTCATTTTCTATGGTGCACATTGTTTTAAAAAAAATAAAAAGTAAATAAATGAATGAATAAAAAATAAATAAATAGGTAAATAAATAAATAAATAAAAAAAAATAAATATTAACTTTTTTTCACTTTTAAATTTCATTTCATTGAAAAAAAATACATTAATCTTCACGAAATTTATTAATAATTTAAGATCATCTTACATAATGTTTTAATAATATTTTACTATTCTGATCTGAAATTATACATTTGCTTTGCCATGTAAGAAAAATTATTCCAATGGTAGCGAATTTTATGTTTTAATAATTGCTTTTTTGGTTTAGTAAATTTATCAAGAACCTTTGCCCATCACTAAAGATAAATTACTTAAACATACTTATAAAATATCATTTATCTTCTTTTATCGATTTGAGATTTTTGTAAATTTCGAAATTACTCTACCAATTTAAATAAAAATATATTGCCTAAATCATAGCATCCACATTGCGTCTAGTGTTCCTTCAAAATTGTTATAGTGATAGTTAAAATATTACCATCGCAGTGAAAATTCAGCTGATTAGGCAACTACTAAAATGCTATAAATTTTCACGTCATGCTGGATATCTTTTTAACTCGGGGTTTGGCGCGAAGTGCCACTGACCGATTCGTCTGCACTAGTATGAAATATGAATAGAAAGTCATTATTAAAGTCATAAACTGTTTTAGGTTGGGGAACAGATTGAAAAAGAAAGCTGCAGCTACTGATTTGGAAAAACTGGTAAATGATATAAGAACAGAGACTATTTCAGTTAAACAATAACAATAAGAAATATTACATTTTGCAATTTGCTTTCAATCCAATTCTTGGACGACAGTTGCTGAAAGATGTTTTTCTTTCGAGGGTTGCCATTGACCAGGAACAACAAGTAAAGAACTGCAAGTTTCTAAAGAATATTTCAAAACTCGCTGCTTTGCCATCCAGTTTAATAATAAATAAATAAAATATCGTTTTTTTAGTCTGTAAAATTGAAAATTTCTATTCTAAAAAAATTGAATAAGTTAAACAATGAGTTTCCTAACACCTTTTAACCCTAGGTTTGAATCTGGAAAAAAAATCAGAATCTCCTAAGTAATAGTTACTCTACTTAAATTTTGACTAAGATTAGTTATGTCATTGGTGCCAACTTATACACATTTAATCAGTATTAAAAAAAACTAAATTATTTTCGTTGTTGGTACAAATGTAGTTAACTACAACTATCTTTTTTGAATGTAATGACTACAAACTACTTTGGAATTAGTAACTAGTTAACTACTTTAAAGAGACGATCATTGCTAGAGAACTTAATTTACACTCATGTTCAAAATGGTTTTGAACGAGAAATTGGCTTACGTTAAACGTAAAGGAATAATTAAGAATTATATATTCATATTTACATGAGTCAGTTTGTTAGTCCAAAGCATTTGTCCTTTTAACCTTCAATTTTTCGAATATAACTATCAAATACTTGCAAAAATTTAAATTGTTATACGCGCCTTTATTTCTTCTAAGAAATTAAGTACATGGAAAATACATTTCCTTCCTTTGAAATTACATCAATGTTTCACGAGTGTGCATGATATTCGCAAGTGAAGAGATTAATTATCCATGCTATTATTAATTACTATCTATTTTAGGTAATTGTCCCATTATCTATATTATGATTATTTATCCTTTTTCCGTAATGGCCAGTTTATATAATAATTATACGTGATTTTAAATGCGTAATTTCTATTAACACGTTGAGCGTCGCGTCGACCACCGGTGGCTGACACTGAAATTACATTTAGGCTGCGTCTGCCACCGCTTGCTGACACTGACCCTTCACATAGGCCGCGAAAAACAGCTGGCTGACAGCGTATAACATGATATAGAACTATAAAATTTACACTCTTTTATGGAATTGCAGAAAATGTATTCAAAATTTACTTAATTATTTTGGTTCTTGGTTTGAACACTTTTTTCAGATATGTCATGCTAAACCTTTTAAAAAGTAGAAAAAGCTGTCTAATATTTGCAAATTTAGTTTGTAGTTAGTTACCGTTGTGGCCTGACGGGCAAGATATGCAAAATCAGCTTGCCGCTCTATGTGTTAAAAGTATTTTAGATTGAAAAAAAATGATTAATGTTTTATTGATTTTCTTAGTTCTGTTTTCATAATAATCTGAAAACATGCAAAAAACCATTATCTGGAAATCTTAAATTTTGATACTTGTAATTTTTGATAGGCTTGATTATTTTTTATATTTACTTAGGTTAAAAAATGAATATTGTGCAAGTTTGAGCTCCAAAAAAATTTCTCCTCCCCTGTAGAAAATTTCAAAGTTTAAATTCAATTTAGTAGATTTTTATCCACCACTATTTTTAGACAGTTTGTAGGCATATATAATTCACCACTTTGTTCTGATATGTCATACTAAACCTTTTATAAACTAGCAAAACCTGTCTATATTTGCAAATTTAGTTCGTAGTTATTTACCGTGTGGCCAGACGAGCAAGCCATGTAAAATTAGAGTGGCATTCAACGTGTTAAATTTCAGCTGCAGCCATAGGATCATTTTCATTGCATCCATTGACGAACCCGCGAAGATTTGTATCCATCAAATTCTTAAAATTAGTTTCGTTATAGCCTTGTTGCCAGGAATTTGTTTGCAGGAATCGCTACAAACTACTGTTTTTCTTTTCTCCGTATCTTTTTTCCATAAAAAGAGTACACTGCAAACTACAAAAAAAGTAGCAACTACAGTAGTTTCAACACTCGTAGTGCGCCACTCTGGCCACTGCAGTTAATGAATTTTTTTTCTTTTAAATTGGCGAAGAAATAAAAAAAATAATTTTGAATAAATTTGTTTAATTTTGTAACCGCTATAAACATCATAGCATGATTATCTAGTTTCCCGATACTAAATTGAACTGCAGAGATGCCAACTTTCTCCGCCTTGTAAAATAGTATTTTCTAGTGGAAGCGAAAATTAAGTTACTTTTAGTTTAGTATTTTTCCTTTTCAGTAATTTTTTAACCACTAAATATCAAAAATTATAAGTATCATATATAAAGCAACGTTTGGTCAACAATCTACTGGTTACTCTATTAAAAAGCAGGCGTAACTATCCTTCTCTAACGAATTTTACTATATAATTAGCTACCACTTTATTAAAACTATTCCAGAAAGCGGAGCAGTTGGTATCCCTGGAACTGTTTATGGAGCTTATCGTTGAAAAACATTTTAAATCTCCTTTACTATACCAATAATTCCAAGTTAAAGTATAAACTTTACTATGTGTAGAAAAAATCTTCCATAGAAATCATAAAAATTAGTATGGAGTTGACAATTTGTTGAATAATCTATTTTAAAAGGAATCGATTCACGAATGTAATAAGAAACTGTAACCAGTAAAACTCTTACGAAAATATTTATTTCATTTATCCAAAACTACAATGGAACAAAAATATTTTTTTATAGATTGCGTGTGTAATAACTTTACACTATAAAAAATTTAATGAGATTATAATCAAACATTTTTAATGTTATTAAATATATATTCATTATGCAATTAATGTTATCTGCAGTCAATGTCAACTTTAACATTTAAAATAAATTTTATTTCTTTACATTTTCAGCAAAACTTTAACATTATAAACTGCAACGATAGTGATACATTACAGCACATTAACTACGAAACATTACAAACATTTCGATAACATAATTAAATATCAATCAAAAATATTGTTTTTCCTTATAAAACTTTTAACCTACTCACAAAATATTTAATTTCACCATTCCAATATTGTCAAAAATTAAATCTAAAGTACATGATACAATTTTTGCTCCTTTACTCAAACAGAACTGTAGTTACATACAAAGTTTTCTTATGAATATTGTGAATAACACTTGAAGTTACTATGTGAAGTTTATATGAATATATGGTAATAATATACAATAAATGTGAAATCGCGATGATTTATCCTAAAAGTTTCTTTTGTTCATCCAAATGAAAAAAATATACAATTTATTGATTCCCCAAGTTCAATCTTCAATTCTCATCGGTTGCTGAAAATAGAATAAGACATTTAGTTATCAAAATATAATAAATAAACACTCTATAGGCAGTTATTATTCATTTGTTTAGTTATTTCTTTCTTATTTATTTATTATTTAATTATTTATTATTTAGTTATTTATCATTGTAATAATTGAATTAAAAAAATTAGAGTTTATTTAAATAGCTTAGTGTGAGGTGATAGAAATCAAAAAGATATAGAGATCTAAAGACTTGAAGAATTATATGGTTTTAGTTTAACCACTTCCCGTATTACCTTGGGTAACATCGCAATAAACTGCCATAATTTATTATCCCTCGGGAAAAAAAATATTAAAGTGATTTGTTTTATCTCGTTTTTCTAAGTAAAAGAAAATATTCTGCTCTGGATTGCAGTTTTCCAGAACTCTACAAGCCTTTTGACAGATCGAATGTAAGGTTACTCGATAAGGCATTTGAAAAAGAATTGTAACAATGATGAGTGTAATCGATAATGAAAGTGATGCAAAAATTAGCTAAATGTAGTAATTAGCGAAATAACTCAGAATTATAAGTTCACAATAAAACTTGATGCTTTTTCATCAGTTAAAAAGAATTAAAAATAATAATAACCATTTCTGATGTGAGGATTTTCCATTTATAATCAAATGACTCATTATTTTATTTTTTTATTTGCATTATTTTTCTTCTCCTAAAAATAAATTACAAATTGTTTTTACTATAGTTCGTTCACCAGGAGTTGGCACTTGGCTCCAACTCCTCGGATGCAGAGTTTATTTAAACGCTGAAAAGGAGAAACATCTTTGGGCTTGAAATTGAGACAATCCTTAATGCGCGCTAAACGCAAGCAGTGAATTCTTTTTCAGTCACTTCATCATCTCCTATTATACCTTTCGTTACTCAAGTAAATTAAATATATTTTAAATTTCAAAACCTGCTGTTTTCCCAGGAAAATGTCTCAAAAGGGACAAACTATTCTCTCAAAAAAGATGGAAATATCATCAAGTTTATGAAATATTTAAGGTTATAAAAATGCACATAAAGATTGTGAAATAAATATTTTTCTCATACGATCGCCAAATAGACGTTGTTCAGGATTGGTTACATTCCTCTCCCAAAAATATCCAAATAGTATCATCGGATACCAAGTGATAAAGGTGGAGATAAGTGCCAACTCCTGATGAACGAACTATACCAATTTCCTTCCCCGTCATAAGTTATTAACAGACTAGTATAGATATCTTAAGTTTAAATAATGTAAAGCTTTACATATTTCCTAAAAAGAAATAACATATTTATTTACTTACTAATCCAATTGTAGAACTGGTATCATCTATGTAACTTGATTTATAAGATCTCTTCTTCAGTCTACACAAAAAAAATAATGGGAATTGTAAATATTTTATTAAACAATGCACACGTGAAACGAAAAAAAATGTTGCTGTTGTGTTGTTGTTTCTAATGTCACTTGCCGATCTAGCAAACCTGCTTGGTGAAACAAAGTGTATTTAAGGCAGAAGCTGCATTTTTTGTTTTTCAGTAGCACATGGTCAAGAATATGACTTTAGCCACCCACGCGTCACAATCCGTTTATAAGGCGAACCCACTCAGTCATCCATTCATTCATCCACAGATCATACGCTGGTGTGCGAAAATTAAGAATGAAATGGAAAAACTAGCATAGCAACAAAGCAGGCTGTTGCAACAGGGGGAAAGGGCACTGAGAGACCAATCACTGTAAAGTAGAAATTTTGCCTCTATACACTATGATATATCGGAGGGCGTGTTGTAAGGAAATAAAACAAGCTGGTCGTGGAAGCGCAATGTGGATGATATAGCACGGTAAGCATCAGTTTAAACGAAGTAAATCTGCTGTCACGCTCTGATATGGTCAGCAGACAACACAGAACACGACATCTGGATGAGTTTACGCTAGGTCGAATCATTGGGAAGTTGGAAGAAAGTCGAAGTGTGACCAGTGGGGCAGCGGAGTTCGGGTTCGTCGGCAGTATCGTTTTACAAGCTTGGAACACATTTCAGTAGACAGGTGATCTGGAGGTTTAGTACAGGTCGTCATCGCACAACCACGGCAGCGAACAACTGGTATATGGTCCTATAGGCTAGAAGGAGCAGACGGCAGCCATCAGGAGAAATCGCAATGCACACACAGCATAGTACTGGTCTCCGATATAGCGGCTTACCGTGATAAGGGGATTGAACAAGGATGCTCTATTCGCACGACGGTAAGTGTGGTGAGTTCCAATAAGCCAGTTCACCTGAAACACCGTTTAATGTGATGCCGGTACACAACAACTGGGCAGATGCGCATTAGGTTCAAGTACTCTTTACGGAGGAAAGCAGATTTAGTCTGACCAGTAATTACGCATACACATCTGGAGGGAACAAGGAGCACGTAATAACCTGTCCAACGCCATCAAACGAGATCAATTTAGAAGAGGTGGAGTTCTTGTATGGGGAGGTATCATGCTTGGTACCAGTACTGATCTACACATCTTTCAAGGTGGTTAAGTCTCTGGCCGCTCCCGTACAATGGCTGCCCTTCCTCATATGCATCTTTTTAAATATGTGGTTTAAAAATCTGGTTAAATAATCTTCATAGATGATACTATTACCACTCATAGCATAGTGGCAGTCACAGAACTGTTGGACAGTGAAGATATCGTAATCATGAAATGGCCGAACAGGTACCCGGATTTTAATCCGATTTAACATGTGTGGGACATTCTGGGGAGACATTTGGCAGCACGTCCCCACGCACCAGCAACAATTCCGCATCTCTGATAATTACAACAACAGAAATGGGCAGCAATTCCTTAAGAGCTTCTTTTTAGGTTCTCAGCATGAGCAGACGATGTCAATCTTGCATAGTAGTCAGAGATGATCATATTCCATACTATAGGCTGGAATTTTATTTCCACTCCAGTGTAACATTGACGTTTTGGTCATTTACACAATTGCGTTTTAAGCCTATGTTTCTATAAAGTTCCTTATTGTTCCCGAAGATTACATTTGCTTGCAAGTTGCTTACTTTACCATATTCTTAAATTTTAAGGAGACTATGGTATGATTTTTATCTATTTTCAACACTGCTGTTCAAATTTACTTACGAAAAACCACTTCGTCCTTAATGTTTCCACACTAGTGCAATTTTGACCTAAACCAGTGAACGATTAATCTCCAAAGCAGAACCCCCATCGGTATAATTTGTTATGGAAACATGTAGGAGTTTGTGACCCGACATAATTGACGTCCACCAGTCACCATTTACTACGTGGAGATTCTTCGACTGGCGGGTATCGAACTCATAATCAGTTGGACATGGGTCCAACGCCCTAAAAACCTGACTATCCCGGCTTCAATAAATGTTAATAAGGGTTTAACGATTTTCAATTTAAATCAGTTCTATAATATGTGCAGGGTGTACCATACTGCACAGCAATTGTCAAATTTCTCGAGAAATACATATGATTTAAAAAAATGGAACTTAAACATGTCAAATATTTACAGCAATTTTGCGTACATTACGAAAAGCTAGATATCATGAACGGAATATGCGAAACAAAACGTACTTTATTGAAATTATCATATTAAGAGAGCCGACTCAGCAAGGATCAACTTTGATAAGAATATTTATTATCACACGAGCTTCAGATTAAATCAAAAAATACTATTATGTGTTATCCTGGCTATGCATGGTAGAGCTACTTGTGATCAAGAAGGATGATAACAAAGCGACAAGTGTTTAGTTCTCGTTCGTCAAATCGAAACTAAATCTCATTTGGAGTAAATTTTTGTTCCAAATTCTTTGAAAGTGAAGAAAGATAGGGGTTGAATTTCAAATTTTTCTTGAAACGAATTCAGCAGAAAGAATTTTGAAAATCAAATTTAATTCTTTAATAACAAGCTTCATTTAAACCAGAAGCTCCATTAGGATAATTCAGATCATTTATTTTTTGCCATCTCTTGCGCTGTTTTATTAGAAGATACATGGGAGTTTCAATCCTAATATTTTTTTTTATTTTTCCTAAATTGTTTATAATTTGTAAATTTTGTATCAAAATTTCATGCTTTTATGTTGATTAAGTTGAGATCATTTTAACCCTCGAAAGAAAAATTTTTTATTTTTGAAGTTTCATGCCTGGTTTTTATTTCGCAAGACAGCAAACCTTGAGAAAATAGTTTGTAGAACAGAAAATGGTGTTAAAAAGAAATTCACGCAATAGTTTCCGTTAAATTACATGCTTTCTTAAATCCGGTGTTCGAAGTAACTTAATTGTGGCCTTATTAAATTTCAAATTCGTTATTGCATCTGAAAGAAACCATGTATATCGTGATTATAAAGAGCTATTCTTGTTTTAATCCTGAACAAGAAAGAAATGTAGGTAAATAGCTATTGCTTGTAAATCAAAATGCAAATTTATAGTATGACAAACAAGTTACATGAATTAACTTTTAAATAAAGCTTTTGTTTTAATCTGACATAAAATTTAAAAAATTTGAATGGTTATCTTAATTTGCACAAGTTAAAAAAAAAGACACAACTGAACGACAACTCTGAAAAAATATAGTGCTCTAAGTACAGAACTACAGCTAAACTCCGAGCACAGCTGAACTACTGATAATTCTTTTTTCTATCTCAGTAGAACTTGAAGATGAATTTTTCCCGTTTCAAGAAATGCCCAAATATTCAGGATCGTATAACCGAACAAGAAAAAATTTCCTTATATTTTGAGTGTCATTTCTTCAAATGGAGACAAAATACTCAATGTATTGTTGTAAAAGAAAGCCTTAATTCAAAATAATATCCTAGTGAAAGTGTTTGCAGACGACCCCATTAAATAGAAGCCAAGTATTGTCCTTTAGTACAATAGAACGAAATGGCAGAATAGATTCTAAGGAATCATTCTGCACTATGTGAAACTTGCAAATGGCTCACAATTATTTTACAATGTTTAAGATATTGCTACCTTCAATGCTTGGATAATTTTCGAAAAATCTTTCATCACCCCGATTATGCATTGTGAGTTCATTCTTGTGCGAGTTAAGAATCAATTGTTCTGCTCATTCGATAGCCCCTAATACCTAAATTTCAGTCCATAAAATAAAGGAATTGCCCTTTTTAACATCGCAAGAGGCAGAATAAAACTCCCGATAACTATGAGATAAGTCAGAAATACATTTAACGCTGTTTTACTGACACTGTAACGTCACGCGGATATACTATTTGTAATGTCGAACTAATATGGGTGTGACGTACGGGTGTTTTGCAAACGTGAAATTCTTGGCTATAGATGGCGCCACTGGAAAACCGGAACAACCGAACCCCTTGCCTTAAAGGACTATGACAACAACAACAGTGTCTAATTAATGATGGAATTTAATCAATTTATAAACTGTTATATATTAATGCGTATTGTTTTAATTCGTATCTTTTGTTTATTCTTGTATTACTTGCAGTTCTGTGGAAGGATATTCTACAACACGATATTACACTATATTGTTATATTTTCATGGTCAATTAAAAATATAAAAAAAAAGAAATTAAATCTCTAAAAATGTTTATGTATAGTAATTTTAACAATATTCATCAATTAAGCAATCATTAACATTAGCATGATCTTAGGTAAGTACAAAATCAGGCAGTTCTTGAGCAAAAATCAGTTCGACAATTCGAGTTTAATGCAGAATGTACTTGTTTTGTTTTGCATTATTATGTATATTCATTCATTTTTTCATAGGTATTTAAGATATAAGTTTAAATAATAAATATTTACTGGAGGTGATGACGGAATTCTACACAATTTAGATTAAACAAATTCTAGTGTTGGGAAAACTGCACATTGGTCCTTAACAATGAAAAGTAATTTGTGTAGGCAATAGTTTTTAACCTTAAAGGGGGATCGGTTTAAGAAACGCGATACTTTCTCTACTTTTCCCCACCTGCAAAAGAAATAATATAACTCCCCATATGGAAAAGCAGCACGTATTTCGCTTCAGCTCTGGTGCAAAATTTTTCTAATGTATGGTTTTAATATGTAGACAAATGAAAATGTGGTAATAAAGTTGCTTAATACTTACACTCGGTATTTATGAACCATTAAAACTGAGAACAAAATCAAAGGAATCACCATGATTGATAAAATTATGAGAACAACTCGCATAGCTGTGGCACCTAAAAAGTAATTAACTGAATTATCTATTAAAATATATAAATATTTCTAAGATTTATTTCTGATTGATACAAATTACGCACGGATAAAGGTAGAATTATTATCAAAATAGAACTTTTATAAAAAAGGTAGAATTATTGTTAAAAAATTGGGTTCAATAAACAACAAGTTGAAACTTTTTTTTTAAAAAAAAAGAAGACGAAAATAGGTACTACAAATTAATGTTTTAGCGAGGAAAAAAAGCTGTCGAAGTGTGACATATCAGAGAGAGAGGTAGGTCTAAAGAAGTAGTTGAAAAACAATTATAACAGACACCTTCGAATTTCAACACACTATCCCACTAGTTTCGATGTCCTGCACACGATTCTTTTCCTTTAATTGCATATTTGTTTTATTTTCCTAGCTTAAATATTCATTGTCAAATTCCAGTATGTCTAAATGTTTGTCTTCTCCTTAGATGAGGATTCTAAAAATATCAAAGTGTTCCTAAAGAGACGACCCGAGTACCAAAAATTAAAATTATATACTTCGGTCAGGGTAGTATTTATTTAAAAAAATTAAAGAGTTGCGGAAGAATTGTTAAAAATAGAGTTGTTTAAATTTATACTTACCTGTAAACCTTTTATTTTTTCATTTTTACAGGAATTTTTATTATATTTTTGGGAAATTTTCTAATAAATTTTATTCTACAGCTAACAATTTCTTTTCAGATCGCAGCAATCGTAACTGATAAAGGATTTTTAAACCAATAGACCGGCTTTTAAGCATCAAATTTGAATGAGATATTTTAACATATAATATTTATATATTTTATTGCATAAAATTTGCAAACATTTTTAAAAGTTTTGGGTGCCTTCTATTAATAAGAATTGATAATAAGTTTTGGTATTGTAATCTTTCTGAAATATCAAGTTAGAAAGAAAAGGTTTAACTATCATGTTTTTCTTATCTCGAGGATGCAAGCAGCCTTGTTATTAACATATTTCATGCTAATTGGATGCTTATTAGTTAGTTTCTTTTTAAATTTGATGAATGCGGTTCTAGTATTTTAAATGCTACTGGATTTTTCTAAAGAAATTAGTATTTCTTACATTTTATGAATTTTATTGAAATTTTAATGCAAGCTGTATAAAATGAATCTAATTTAAAAGAAATATTATGCCAATGGTTAATTTACCAGGAAAAAAATAAGATTTTTGAATTTTCACAGAATTAAAATTCAGCAATAAGTCTAATTTTTTTAGGACATCTAAATGTAATCAAATAATTGTTAAAACTAAATTCACAAATAAAAATAAGTACGTGAATAAAAAAGATCACGTTTTCTTACCAGCCATATCAACCTCCTGTATATCACAATTAAATCCAGTATAGCCTTTGTCACATCTACAAATATAGAATTAAAATTAACAAGGTTAAACATTCATCAAATAGATATCAGAATTTCGACATAAATCGTTTATATTAAACTTTAGCAAAATGAGAGCAGCAAAATAACGGTAAATTCTAAAACAAAATTCAGAGCAGTTGTTATAAGCATAAGTTATAAGCAGTTATTGCATACATCTGTTTTAGTAAAGCAATTGTTTAAAAAGGGAAGCGCAGCCACTAATATTTGAGAAAGATACGAAATATTTTTCCCTATGGTCCTTAACGAAGGCAAACACTTTGAAACGAAGAGGATTTTAAGTCATTTGCATACCTGGCAACTTTCACTCTTTCCGAGAATAGATTTTTCATGTAGAAACACTTATCGAAAAACTATCTCACTCAAAAATAATTTTAAGCTTTTACCATGTTGAAATTTGCTACCGTAAAGACTCTTACGTTTAAATGCATATCTGTTGTAATTATTTGCATGTAGTGGTGGTCAAACTCATTTACTATAATTATTGTAATTTAAAAAGTTTAATAGAATAATGGCACCTCGATAGGAGGTAAGGGCCCTACTCCCTGAGTCACCACAATTCCCGTCATCGATATTGGTTCTTGCTGCTGGAAATGTTCAAGGCTTGGCGAACAAAGAGCACGTATTCTTTGGCCAAGGTTCAAGGCATGGCTTGACATAGTTTTGAGTCGTTCTAAAATGCGGTGATGTGTGAATTTTATAATACGCTTCTTTCTCTTTTAAATATTTTCCGATTATTTTTATTTTATATAATTGTTTTTGTCTCTTTTTTTTTTGCATTTCAAATTTCTTTACTTTCCTGTACTTTTGCGTTTCGTTTACGGATGCAAATTGAACTACGATATTTTTAACAACCCCTTCTAATCCCCTTTCAATTTTGGTAAGACAATTTCCAATCACCCTGTATTAGTTTATAAAAATATGATATTAATATATCTTAGTTCAAGCATAAGCATTTGAAACTACCATACGTAATAAGAGCAACAAAAGTGAATTATTCACTTTTTAAAGAAAAAAAATAATAATCTCGTTCTAATAAATATTTCCATAGAAAAATGCTATTAACACATCTCAATTGGGTTACTCTTTCGTGAGTAGCAAACTTGAATTAAAATTTTTATACAGGTAATATATTAGCAACTACAACCATTGATCGAGAATTCTAAGTAAAGGAACATATTTGAAGTCTATGTTGTTTAAAGAACAGTGGTTGATAAAATACTGTAAATGGTTAAATGTGAACTGTTTCACAAATTTCTATGGCTTGCACTTTTTTTGGAAAAAAATATTGCTGGAATGGACACACTGCGTCGGAAAGGATTAAAGAGTTTTATCGTTTCTTCGAGAAATGCAAATTTACACTATCTTTCCGTGATAACAGCAAAACTTTAAAGAAGATCTTTCTTATTTGTTTTAAAGTTAAGTAACGAATTCGTTATTCCCCCTAATTCAGAACTATACAATGGTTGACGAAAAAATATATATTGAGGTTGCAACCTTAATTGACAAAGTCTGACTTTCCTTCAACAAAATTGCTAACACTTGTTTAAAATTAAATCTATAACAGCCGATATGTGGTTTTTTTTAAAAATTTTCGCAAGCAAAATATTGAGAGTAAATAGCAAAATATTGAACAAAATATAGATCATATTATCCGGAATATATAGCAGAATATTGAGACAAATAAGCAAGGTGACTCTTGCTTATATGTATAAATCATCTCTTACACAAACATAGGTTTCTTAACCCTGATTAATAAACTGAAATATTTAATAATTAAAGTAAACAATAAAATAAGAACGAAATTAGTTGAAAAGCTTCAATAAATTAAAGATAAAACACATTAAATATACAATGACCTCTCACTTATGCACCACCTCTTTTATGCAACTTTTTCATTTATACGACGATTTTTAGTCATCAAAGTAATGATAGTTATCATTTTTTTATGCATCGGTATAAAAATAAATTTTTCAAATATGAGCGGAAATTATTTTGAGAAAAATGAAAATATACATTTTTTTTCTTCAAATAGAAAAAAATCACGTAATTTTTTAGAAAAAAAGTTTTTTTCTTGTGTCTGTTAAAGTTAAAGTGGAAAGTTAAAAATTAAAGTAACTAAACAATCTTAGTTACAAATAAAAAGAAATTGTAACAAAGATTGAAATTTGTTACGTATTGTTGCTGGATAAAGTGCAATAGTTCTTTTTTCGTCCCTTGTAACCTTTTAACTTCTCTCTGTCGTTTCTACGATTATAAATATTAATTACGATATACGATTTATAACGATTATAAATATCAATTAATAATGACATAATAGATTATAATTTAATCATGTTTTCATGTCATGTCAGAAACATTAATCATGTTTTTAAAGCAATTTATGTTGCGTCTTTGAATTTTGATATGTTTTCATTTATGCGTCCCTATAATTTATGCACATTTATTTGAGTCCTTAGGGCTGCGCATAAGTGTGAGTTCACCGTATTATCTCAAAAACTAGTTTATTGAACAAAAATATAATTGTTATGTAGTAATTTCTAAAAAAAGACTTAAACGTGATTTCAAATAAAAACGTGATCTCAAAATTTAAATGTGCATGCTTACTCGCAGCGGTAAACTCCGTCTTTAGCTTCACATCGTCCATGTTTGCATATTTTCTGATTGCACATTTCTTTGAAATAAGAGAAAAACTGTTACTATACAATATATAGTAAGTATGCATGTATTACATATATACGCTTAATTATCCTTATTTTAAAAGTTTTGGTTTCCCTATTATATATATATTTTTGAGTTCTAGTAGTTACAAATAAAAATATATATATTGGTATTTTATTTCTCTGTTTTGTTGTTTTTTAATTATAAAAATTAGTCTCATAGCTATTAAAACAATGAGTTAGATTATCAGAATTATATTTGTACTAAAATAGTATGTCCAAAATAAAAGTAGTTTGAGGAAGAAAAAAAAATTTTTTTTTCATTCATATTCAAAAAATAATCAATAATTGATTTCGTAAATTAAAGGAATTTTAATGGGGATATCCTCTCTGACCCAAAAGATAACTATTGTACTACTCAAGACAGCCTCCCCCCCCCTATTTTAATTGATAGGCTTCGGTGCGCAAGAGCACGTAGTGAGATTGGCATTGGCGTATTTTAGTACCTTCGAAGTATGCTAAAATTCTTGAAGTCTAGAAACTCGCCAATTCTCTCAAAAGAAGTTGCATACTAGTATATTAGAAGTATTTTAAATTTATTAAATGCACTAGGTATTTTGAATTACTGAAGTATGCTATGCACTAGGTGTAAGCTATGCACTAGGTATTTTGTTATTACTGAAATTAACTTTTTATGAACTTCGTTTTAAAGGAATGTATCGCCGTAATTCAGTATTTGTTTGGGTTCTGAAAGTATTAATACAAAAAAGTCACTAAAATTGAATTGAAATGGAAGAAATGTGAAAGAAACTAAGAATGTTTTTTTTTTCTGTGGTGTTAGCATATAAGCACACATTTATTTGCGAGAATTAACTTTTATCAATCTGAATTTTTGAAACATTCATTAACGACAAATAAAATAGTAACGAAAAATTAAAATAAATACCAAAAATTGCTATATATATATATGNGCTATGGAAAGAAAGATAATGCGATGGATTAGTGTCAACTCCAAACCTGTGATTGTAAAGTGAGGGGGGGGGGAAACTTTGAGCGAGGGACTTTGGGCCAGAAAGGATTCTCCCATTTTAATGACCATAAATGTTTCCCTTAGATGTAAATAATTTCAAATAAATTGAAACATTATTGGAAATACGCCGTATTTGAAAAGTATTACTTTGGATGCAGAAAAAGACACCGGTGTTTCATACTATATTTCATAAACCCTAACTCTTAAAATTGTTAAATATTATTTATTTCACATGTTTAGAAATAAATTAAATAATACAAAATAATGGAAAATATGTTTAACAAAAAATTTGCATCACAGAATTAGAGTTACACTTACCAACACAATTTGTTCGCTTGAGGTCTGCTGTTTCGGACGGAGCCACAAAGCCAGGTTTACAGGTGCAATCATAGTCACCAATTGAATTCATACATTTTGTTCTGTTCGGACAGACTGTTGGATTTAGGCATTCATTGATATCTATTGAAATAACAAATTTGTCCATTAGAATAAGTTTAAAAAACCGAAGTTTTATTATGTGGCAGAGTAATAACGTGCGAGTGAATTGTCTAAGTGATTAATAGAAATACGCAAAATATTATTTTGATCACCTTAATAATTTTTATAACTGCAAAAGGGTTCAACTTTTCTGAAAATTTACAAAAAAAATTTGGTTGTACTAAATTTATTAGAGCTATTCAAATATATCTGTAAAATTTCTAAAATAGCACTAATTTACTTACAATGTTAAGTTTTTCATAAAAACTTGTACCTTTGTAATTATTTTTCCTTGCTGTTAAGGGTTTTGTAACTTAGTTGTTCCAACTTTTTTTTATTAAAGTGTTTTTTTCATAGATGGCAGCACTGAAATGTAATTTGCTTCATATTTATATTACCAAATATATTTTTAAAAATTATTTTATACAATTTAAGCCATAAACAAATTTGATATTATTCTCTTAAGCAAAGTTTTGACAACTGTTTAAGTAGTATATCTTATATTCAGAAATATAATCTGTTTACAGGTCGGTAAGTTTATTTTCTGATTTCTCTTATAATTATTATCTGAGGATAATTATTATTTTTTTGAAATATTGCATTTACTCTCATAAAGGAATTCGTCCTGAGGAGAACATTCATGTTTTTCTATTAAAAAAAATTTCTACTTCATTTATTTTATAATTTTT